TCATATCGAGTTATGGATTTCTCCAGAGTCAAGCTGACCATACTATATTTTATAAACACTCTGAGAATAATAAAATCTCAATTCTGATTGTCTATGTAGATGATATTATTCTCACTGGTGATGATGAAGCAGGACTAGCTGGTCTTAAGAAAAATCTAGTAAGTGAGTTTCAAATCAAGGACTTGGGAACATTAAAATATTTTCTAGGAATGGAATTCGCAAGATCGAAGAAAGGTATATTTGTTAATCAAAGAAAATATGTTCTTGTCTTACTTGGAGAAACAGGATTGCTTGGTTGCAGGATCGCAGAAGCTCCTATTGAACCTAACTTGAAATTACAAGCAGCAAACGCAGAAGAAATAAAGGATAGGGAACAATACCAGAGACTTATGGGAAGATTAATTTATCTATCACATACGCGACCAGATATTGCATTTGCTGTAAGTTAGTAAGTCAATTCATGCATGCACCTGGACCAACTCATTTTGAAGCTGTCTACAGAATCTTGAGATATTTGAAGGGAACTCCTGGAAAAGGTATTTTATTCGAAAAGAATAACCACTCCCAAGTAGGAGTTTATACTGATGCAGATTGGGCTGGAAGTACTACCAATAGAAGATCTACTTCTGGTTACTGTTCCTTTGTTGGAGGAAACCTAGTTACATAGAGGAGCAAAAAACAAAATGTAGTGGCCAGGAGTAGTGCTGATACAGAGTTTAGAGCATTGGCTCATGGAATTTGTGAAGGTATATGGATCAAAAGGATACTTGAAGAATTGAAGATTCCCCAGCCGACACCTATACGGATTTATTGTGACAATAAGTCTGCCATATCTATAGCTCATAACCCTGTGCTACATGATCGAACCAAACATATCTAGGTTGACAAACATTTTATTAAAAAGAAGATTGATGCAGGTACAATATGTATCCCTTATCTTCCGACAACAGAGCAAATTGCCGATGTTTTAACTAAGGGGCTTCCAAAGAAACAATTCGACAATTTAATCAGCAAGCTGGCTATGGACGACATCTTCAAACCAACTTGAGGGGGAGTATTGGATTTATCAATATTTGTGTAAATATTAGTTGTCAATATTAGTTGTTAATATTTAGTCTTTATTGTTGATATTTAGTCTTTATGGTATTTATTACTTTCCTTGTTTGTAGTAGGTCATTCTCCTATATAAGAAGACCTAAGTTACATGTTTGAATATAGCACTATATTTTTTACTCTCTCAAATTCACAGAAGAAGAGTTTCAAATGCTTACATGCCCACTGAGAATAGGCCTCTATTCAACAGTTTACAGGAATTACACGACAAACAAGTCTATAGGGCCTAATGACGAAATACCAATTGTCATGGGAAAAAAAACACAAATTGCACAAGCAAGACAATATATATGTGTATATACATTTAAGTGTATGTTCCAAATTGAATACACAAATTGGCATTATGTGTATATACATTTATTACTTTCCTTGTTTGTAGTAGGTCATTCTCCTATATAAGAAGACCTAAGTTACATGTTTGAATATAGCACTATATTTTTTACTCTCTCAAATTCACAGAAGAAGAGTTTCAAATGCTTACATGCCCACTGAGAATAGGCCTCTATTCAACAGTTTACAGGAATTACACGACAAACAAGTCTATAGGGCCTAATGACGAAATACCAATTGTCATGGGAAAAAAAACACAAATTGCACAAGCAAGACAATATATATGTGCATATACATTTAAGTGTATGTTCCAAATTGAATACACAAATTGGCATCCCTAAAAAACGTGATCCATGTCCTCAAAAGGACACAGAACACACCACTAAATGCCTCAATAACATAGAAGATTTTTTTTTTATTATGCTTAATTATGTTAATCCTCCCATGCAAGACCTTCCAAGTGAAAATTTTGACCTTCTTGAAAATTCTACCTTCAAAGAAAAAAAAAACAAACAAAAGAATACAAGTAGCACAAAAGTAAGGGGTAAGTGGTTCGACTTGGCTCAATGTTTTGGCCAAAACTAACATTCAACGGACCCATAAGCTTCAGAAAAATAAAGAACCATGACCTAAACTCATATTTCGAAAACCAAACCAACCATTTTTTGATTTTATACTTTATGAAACTGAAACAACTTATGTTTATTGTCCAAATTAACCAGGAATTATCAATGATGGTCCAGGCATAAATTACGCAAAATTTTTAAAAGAATGAAATTTGAAAGATCCTTTTTTATATTCATGCACGAAGAATTCTAAAAGATTCATTGAATCTCATCTATTTTCTATAGCAGATGTAAATGCAAATCGGTTGCATTCAATGACCTTGATACAATAAATTCGGATGGAGAACTCCAAATGAATTTTAATGTTGCTTTTAATGAGGCAAGTGAAGAGCCCCAAGGAAATTGCATCGAATAAAGGGAGAATTAAATTCTCTATCCTCTGAAACCATTAATTCAACCAATGACGGCATGGCAAAAAGAAGATTGGAATATGAGTTATTTGAAAATGAGGAGGACATTGATGTCAGCATCACCAACTTGATTCTCTTATTGTTTCGGAGTCCTTAGAAACCTCAAACGAGGATTTCTAGCAATCATTCTTTGAAGAGTTTCAGATCCTTTTTACAGAAAAGAACAACTCAAGATTAGAAAAAAGTAAGTCTGAATTAGGTCCAAGAAGTGAAAAAAGAGGATCTTAATTATTCAACCAATCAGCACCATCTAGCAAAAAAAAAAAGCTTCGTCATTTGATAAACCGAGTATTTCTCAACACTTTGAAGAGGCCTGCATTTCACTTGTATCAATCAACGAGGTACAATGAAGATTCTTTCATGAAACATCAGAGGTCAAGGACATTTCAAGAAGAGAGTAAAGATCAAGAATTTTGTCAAGAATCATTACCATGATATAGTATTTTTTCAAGAAACAAAATTTATGTAGGTTGACAAGAAGGTTATGAAGTCTTTGTGGAGCTTAAAAGAAATTGGTTGGATATTGATTCAAATCAGGAAGAATTTTTATCCTTTGGAATGACGTCAGTGTTTGTGTAAAGGAAGTTCTTAAAGGGGTAACTCATTATCCATCTTAATCTCTTTTCAAACTTTAATGGTGTTTGGTTAACAAATGTCTATATTCCCATAGATTATCGAGAAAGAAAGCATATTTGAGAGGAATTACATGATATTTATTCATATTGTGATAATTAGATAATGGCACGAGTTCTGATCTTTCTTATAGAACTTACCCTTGCACCTTGTAAATCCTCATTCAAGAAGTGCATCAAACGATCGGTTAGTACATGTTCTACCTGCAACAATATTTCCAAATTAACATGGAAATCCATACAAGCAAAGCTCAGTTCAATCAGTTACAGCTGCATTTCTTTGCCCTTATTGCACAAGCCAAATAGTACTCAACCCCCGATACTATAAAAATAATAAAAACATTTTAAATAACCCATAATGAGGATCTAGAAATAACCTGGGAACGCAGTTGTTCTTTGTAGGTAGCAAGTTCACGAAACGCAGTAATAAACTTGGATATAACTGGACCTGGAGCAAATTAATCAAGCAGATAACGAGTTATATACTCTGGCACTTTTATAAACTAAACAAGTTAGACCTTACATGCCCAATACTATCACTACAAAACCTTGCCGTATAATTGGCTATTTAACTATCATGTATAACAGATCGCTCAAGGATAAACCAAAGAGAGAAGAACGGCTTGAGCAAATGAGAACTATTATTCAAATAATAATGGTTCAGTTAGGCCAGAAGTTTGAAATTTCAAGAGTAAACTAGGCTATCCAACAAAAAATTAACCATCACTCTTCAAAAACATTAAATTTATTTCTCAATGGAAATTAGTTTTTTCTTTTGCGTGCTTGCCCTCTAGTTGAGCAACTCCTAGTATTGACCCTAGCATCATGCCAAGTTGGAGACATAACCAGCCAAATCTTGACAGTGATCTTTAATTAACTTTACACCCTCTAGAATCTGGAGCCAAGAGTTAAGTAGCGAAAAGGAGAAAGACCCACCATAGAATTGGATGGCGATTAGAGATAATTCTTGCCTTTTTTTTTTTTTGAAGCTCTTGGGTTCTCAAAGTGTAGGCTTCAATATTTGGACATAAAATCTGTCAGGTTCTGATTGACATGGACTTTTTTTTTAACAAGAAACATACAAACTCCCGAGGGAGTGAAAGAAAAATATCAAAGATACAATCAAAGGTAACCAAAGGGAAAGTATAATAACATCTAAAGTATAAGAACATCTATACAAATCTAGAAAGGGGAAAGGAAAGCCCCTGATTAGCGTAAATCAAGCTAGGAGAGTAATGTGAAAAAAGATCGGAAAGAACACACCGTTGAGATGCTTTAAATTTGGCCAAACTGAAGCACTCCATTGGAGGTCCTTTTTCTAAAACCCTTTGATTCCTTATTATTTTTTAACAAGGTACAAACTTCTCATTGAAAAAATGAAAAGGAACAACATTGTTCAAAGATACAAACTCTCGAAAGAGTGAAAACAAAACTAAAACATAAAATAAAAACTAAAACAATGTCGTAAGAACTTCCCAATTGGAGAAAATTAGACTAGGGGAATAAGATTTAAATAAAGGGGATAAAGAGCTCCATTGAGAGGCTTTGAATCTAGCAATGTCGAAACGAGCGGAAGGGGACGCCTCTTATCTTCAAAGATCCTAAGATTTCYTTCATACCACACTTCATACACCACTGCCTTCACCAAATTAATCCATAATAAAGAAGCTTTTGGATTCAAGACAGGCCCCGAAAGGATGTGAACCAAATTATCTACCACTTTATTGCCAAAAACCCAAGCCAAGTTAAATTCCTCAAACAAAGAACTCCAGCACTGCCTGGCAAAGGAGCAGAAGAAAAACAGATGCACCATACTCTCTTCATTGGGATTGACAAAGAGCACAAACTGAGGGCAGAAACTAGGAAGCTTCTTTTGTAGAACATCGTTTGTGTTAACTTTCCCATAGATGAGAATCCAAGTAAAAAAACCGACCTTCTTTGGACACTTGTTTCTAAATAGCTTTAAATAAGGCCTTTGGCATTGAAGACCTGATGGACAACTTACATATTGATACAACTATAAACGAACCCGAAATGTCCAAAGACCACAGCCTGCTATCAGGCTCGTTGGTAGGGGAATGAGAATGCAGTAGATATAACAATGTACTGAATTCCTCAATCTCATCATCTTTTAGTGCCCGATGAGTGGAAATTCTCCAAGATAGAGTCTGAGCATCCCAAAAATCAGCAACTGATCCGAAAGGATTAAGGGAAAGTCGATAGATCTTTGAAAATCTATCCTGGAAGGGTCGATCTCCATTCCACTTGTGAGACCAAAACAGAATATTATCCCCTGATCCGAGCTTGAATACCGCAAACTGGTTCAATTGCTTTCATTGGCGAGAAATATTGATCCAAGGTCTTCTAAGACAACCATTCAACATATCTCCCGAGGACCAACAAATGAGACGAACCATACAAGCTTACTAGTTACTATTACCTTACGCCACAAAGCATTAGGTTCACAGCCAAACTGCCAACCCCATTTGGCTATGCTTGGACAGACCTCCAATCCCCAAACCACCTTCTTCCAAAAGCTTAGACTCAATGTTCCAATGCACAAGATGATTCAAAGCCCCTGAATCATCACTCTTCCATAGAAAAGATCTAATTTTCTTCTCCATTTGTTTCCATACTCCTGAAGGCATTTGAAATAAGGACATATAATAAAGAGGAAGGTTGGATAAGACAGAGTTACAAAGTGTCAATCATCCTCCTCTCGATAATTGAAACCGATTCCATCTATCCAACTTCTTTTCGATTTTCTCCACTATAGGGCTTCAAAATGTTGCTGATTTCGGATTACCTCTCAAATGAAGCCCTAAATACAAGAATGGAAGGGAAGCAATCTGACAATTCCAGGAATCTGCCCTCTGCCTAACTTTTCCAGCTTGTAAATTAATGCCATAGATTGCCGATTTTTCCCAATTGACGGAAAATCTCGGCATTCTTTCATATGCTTTAATAGCTTGAACGAGATTATCTCAAACCAAAGCTCCGAAATAATAGCTTTGACCCTATTTACCCAAAGAAGACTCGCTTTAGGAGATAAGAAAGGGCCAAACGGCCCTCTCCCAATTGATAAAGGGCTTTTAGACCTAGAAAATTTCACAATTGATAAAGGAACTTCAATTTAATTTCAGATCTTCAACAATGTTTTTGAAAATATTCATGCTATGAGTTTGTCTTGCTTGGGACGTGGAGCCAAAACAAGAATGTAGAGCTTAAAGACCCGAGAGGACAACATTGTGGCACTAGTATTGACGTTGCAACATTGAACGCCAGGTGAAAGAAGTGAAAACATATGTTCATAGCATCAAGACACTACCATAACCCAAAGAAAAGAAAAAAGGTGGAAGGCACTAGGACACTTTCCTCAAAAACACTAGTTCTTCACATAGTAGATCATGCAGCAGTTATTTCACATAGAGTAGCGTAGCAGTTTTAAAGAGTTATAGTTCTAGTTAGTGGCAGCTCATTTTATTCTGTGGATTTAGCGAGTGGTATACGGAAATAGAGATGAGACTCTTTGTTATTAAAGTACAAGGGGAATCATTCTGTGAAATCTCTAGAGAGTTCTTAAGAGAGAGGAATCATTCTGGAGCATGTGTGAAATCTCTTGTATTAATTTTCCTACACATCTCAGTGAACCTACAATTTTAAAAGACTGCAGTAGATCTAATGAAAGCATTATCGAATAGGTATGAAAAACTCTCTACTAATAGCAAAGTGTATCTTGCCACAAGATTCTTTAATATTAAAATGTCCATACAGAGCAGAGCTCAATTCAATCAGACAAAGGTACATTAGTTAACTCCTATATAGATGAGGTCAATAATCTAATCAATCAATTAAGATTATTTTTATTGCTAGGAGAAGTCACTCAGACAACCAGCATAGGCTCTTGAAATAGGCCACAAGTTATAGATAAGAACCCCTGGCTCACACTCTTCATTTGTTGATGGAAAGATAAAAGAATAGCATAAAGAGATGACACAACCTCCAATGGACACACTAACAGGATCATCCTGCCCACCACCAAATCCTTCTAAAGAATCTGCAAAAGAAATGTCTCCATTACAAGCTTCTCCGAGAGTTGCCCTACAAAGGTAGACATTTACGCAAACAATATAAATAAATAAACACTAATGAGAAAAATGATGATATGCTTCGAGGACAAGGCGACACTACTATTCAAAAAAAAAATGAACCTAGACATAGGCAGGGACATGCTCAAAAAAAATATTTTATTTTGAAATATGTACATATCTAAATTACATTACAGTGGAAACAAATGATTTGCCCATGTGATTCTAGGACTTATGATCTTCACCGCCTCTGAGGGCTTTTCCCTTCTATACACCCACTTCATTCAACTGAGCTCACTGTATTTACAGAACTAACCTTCCTCTTGTAATCAATAAATAGTGATTACTCTAATATAATATAATATAGACTATTATACCTATTTTTGCCATTTTCTCCCAACTATTTTATCTTTCTTGGTATCAGAGTTATAACCTAAGCTACCGATGGCGGCTCAAGGTATTAATAATCTTTCAAAGCAACTAAGAAGATATAACCCAAACTAACACCACCAACACTCCGTTGAAATTTCTTCTTCCACCAGTGCTACTTTAATCTATCCCTTCGGAAATCCACTTTCAATTGTGCTTACTGTGAAACTCAACACCCAAAACTACCAGCTGTGAGAACAGATGGCGTTAGTGGTCTTAAGAGGCCAAAAACTACATGGTTTTTATGCTTGGGACTCGAGTTACACCCCCTAAATGTATCCTACCGACAAGACAGCAAGCTAGAAGTTCAGAATTCATATTGAATCCCACATATGAAAAATGGGTGAGAATGGATCAGACCTAATTAGGATGGTTGTATATGTCTATAACACCACCAATTTCTTGTGAAATCATAAGCTACAGTACCTCTCGACTGGCTTAGAAGGAAACAGCAGCATGGAGATGGCTACATATCTTAGTTTCATGAAGCAGATCCATAGCACCTATCATGAACAAGTATATAATTTGTTGGTTTATTTGTGAATATTCACTGTAAATATTAATGATTTGATTATTTTACTCTTACTTTCCTTTTAGGAACGGAGCCTTTCTCCTATATAAGAAGGCTTTGTATCTCTTATTTTTTAATATATTGGAATACAGATATTTTCTATTCCATCAAAATCAAGTTGGTATCAGAGCCAAAATAAACCCTAATATCCTAAGGACTTGTAGAAACCCTAGCCACCATCCTTACCTTTAAACCCTAGCCGCTGCCATACCGTTGCCGGAACCCTAGCCGCTGTTATCCTAGAACGGTTCATCCTACTTCCGGCACGATAGGTTACTATTCCGACACTCTAGTTCACCGTCGCCACCTTCACCGCCGGAACCCTAGCCGTCGTCTCCGAACGACGCATCCTACTTACAGTCGGTCCCTTCGTGCGTGGTGTTTCTCATTTATAGGTCGACGGAGCCATAGTTTTTCAGAGATTGTAGTTAATGCCGACGTCAGAGCTATCGATTCGGAGGTTGCTGCTTGGAGCCCATTCAAATCCGCTGCCGTACGAGCCTCAAGCCTCCATTTTGCCGCCGTCTGCCGTTGTGCGCGCCGCCGCATCATCTATTGATACCAGATCTGCAACGCTTCCATTCCACCGCCGTCGGCTGTTGCGCTCACCGCCGCTATCCTCTGTTCGTCGTGGATCTGCCGTGATAGAAACCCTCCGCCCCTCTTTCGCAGATCTGGTAGTAGAAGCAAATCTGCTTCTGTGTTCGTGGGTCGTTCTTGTTCTACAAACCCTAGACCGGTTCTATTTGGGTGGTTCGTCCCGTTTGGTTTGGTTCGCAGATCCGGTGTGGTTTTCTACTGGTTCGGTTTTTTCTAGTCCGATTTTGTCCACCCGGTTCGGTTTGGGTTTTTCTGGTTATCTGTCTATATCCTCTCTAATATCAGATTGTGGTTTGATTTGATTCAGTTAACCTTTATTTGCTATCATGGTTCAAGAAACGGTTCAAATGACTCAAAGTCTAGCGGAATATGAGAGAAACCAGGAGCAAGTTCGCACTAATAGTGTTGACTCAAATTCATTTAGTAGAGAGCATCTATCACAACGATTAGAGACCAATTTGTCATTTGGTAATCTWGCATTTCCTTGGCGCAAAGAGGTAATTACCCTAGAGCACTTTCCTGTTTTGGCTCATCTCCGTGGATTATTGATTCTGGAGCTTCTGACCATATGACTAGCTCTTCTAAAATATTTGAATCTTATTCTCCTACATATTGCAATGAAAAAATTAGGATTGCCGATCGCAGTTTCTCTTCCATTGCAGGTAAGGGAACCATCAAATTAACAGAAAATATTACTCTTCAATCTGTCCTACATGTCCCTAAATTAGCTTGCAATCTTTTATCAGTTAGTAAACTCTCTAAAGATTCTAACTGTCTTGTTACCTTCTATGCATCGCACCGTGCTTTTCAGGACCAGACCTCGGGGAAGACGTTTGGATGTGCTAGAATGCTGTATGGCCTCTACTACTTTGATGAGCCTTCTGGTAGTACTAAAATAACTCAGTGCTTTAGTAATACAGTTCTATCTCTGTTAAAGAACAAATTATGTTATGGCATTGTAGGCTAGGACATCCTAGTTTCTTCTATCTCAAATACCTATTTCCAAAATTGTTTAAAGGAGTTGATTGTTCTCAATTTCATTGTGAAAATTGCATCTTTGAAAAACATCATCGATCCACATATTTGCCAAAACCTTATAAGTCCTCCAAACCATTCTATTTAATTCATAGTGATGTTTGGGGTCCATCTAAAGTTTTAACTCATAGTGCTAGACGATGGTTTGTAACTTTTATTGATGATCATACTCGTTTGTCTTGGGTTTTATTTATTGACAAACAAATCTGATGTGAAGGATATTTTCAAATGTTTTTACAATATGATTGAAACCCAATTTCAAACCAAAATTAGTATCCTGCATTCTGRCAATGGAACTGAATATTTCAATGAACATTTGAGTGAGTTTTTGAAAACTAAAGGCATTGTTCATCATTCTACTTGTCGAGATACTCCTCAACAAAATGGTATTGCTGAAAGAAAAAATAGGTATTTATTGGACGTTGCTCGGGCAATAATGTTTTCTATGAATGTCCCTAAGTACTTATGGGGGGGGAGCAGTCCTCACAGCTGCCTACCTAATAAATCGAATGCCTACTAAAGTTTTGAAGTTTAAAACTCCTCTTGATGTTTTGAAAGAAAATTTTCCAACAACTCATTTGAACTCTGATTTACCTATCAAAGTTTTTGGGTGTACTGTTTATGTGCATATTCCTAGTCATTTTCGGTCAAAATTAGATCAGAGGGCCATTAAATGCATTTTTTTGGGCTATGATTTTAGAAAAAAGGGTATAAATGTTTTGATCCTCGAACCAAAAAACTTTATGTGAGTATGGATGTGTCCTTCTTGGAAAATCAACCTTTTTTTTTCCAAAATTATCTTCAGGTGGAGAAACTAAATTTAGAAGATAAGGATGATAATTTTTGGGATATACCTGTTGATATACTCGTCCCCCTTCCTAATGTGATAAGTCCCAACTTTACTGGTCCTTCAATGCCAAGTGTAGAAAATTCTAACTCAGGGGGAGAATTACTACAAAATGATCAAATTGATCCAAATCCTGAGTTTAAGTTTTATACTAGAAGAAGACTCAGTCAAACGAATGGGGACCAGATAGCTGACTCATCACAGATCCAAATTGAAACTCCGAGGGATGATTCTGACACTCCAGGTAATCCATCTTTTATTCTTGTTACTCCAAATATTGAAAATATCTCATCTGTTATTTATGATCTTGACGTCCCTATAGCCTTAAGAAAAGGAACTCGAACTTGCACGAAATATCCTCTAGCAAGCTATATCTCTTATCAAAACCTATCAAGTAATCATAAAGCTTTTCCGTCTAGGATAACTAACTTGTTCATTCCAAGGAACATACAAGAAGCTCTAAATGATCCAAATTGGAAACTAGCTGTTATGGAGGAGATGAATGCTCTAAGACAGAATTGTATATGGGAGATAGTAGATTTGCCAAGAGATAAGAAAACTGTGGGGTGCAAATGGGTTTTTACGATCAAGTGTAATGCTGATGGTAGTGTTGAAAGGTATAAAGCTAGACTAGTTACAAAGGGATTTACTCAAACCTATGGGATTGATTATCAGGAAACTTTTGCTCCTGTTGCTAAAATCAACTCCATTACAGTACTTTTATCTCTAGCTGCAAATTTAGACTAGCCCCTTCATCAACTCGATGTAAAAAATGCCTTTTTGAATGGAGTCTCGAAGAAGAAGTATTTATGAGTTTACCACCAGGTTTTGAAGCTAACCTTGGTAAGGACAAAGTATGCCGGTTAAGAAATCTTTATATGGACTCAAGCAGTCTCCAAGAGCATGGTTTGAACGATTTGGTAAAGTGGTCATGAGCTATGGATTTCTTCAGAGTCAAGTTGATCATACCATCTTTTATAAACGTTCTGAAAATAATAAAACTGCAATTTTGATTGTTTATATAGATGACATCATGCTCACAGGTGATGATAAGGTAGAACTAGCCACTTTAAAGAAAAGACTTGCATGTGAATTTCAAATCAAGGACCTAGGAACGTTAAAGTACTTCCTAGGAATGGAGTTTGCAAGATCTAAGAAAGGTATCTTTGTTAATCAAAGAAAATATATTCTTGATTTACTTAGAGAAACAGGTTTGCTTGGATGCAAGGTAGCTGAGACCCCTATTGAACCTAATTTGAAATTGGAAGCTGCAAGAGAAGAAGAAGTAAAGGATAAAGAACGATATCAAAGCCTCGTGGGAAAACTCATTTACTTGTCTCACACACGTCCAGATATTACTTTTGCGGTGAGCATGGTAAGCCAATTTATGCACTCACCAGGATTAGTTCACTTTGAAGCTGCCTATAGAATTTTAAGATATTTGAAGGGAACTCCAGGAAAAGGTATATTGTTCAAAAAACACAACCATTTATAGGTTGAAGTTTATACCGATGTTGATTGGGCAGGAAGT